ATGGAAAAATAGGTTACAAGGGAAAAAACCTAAAATCTAAAACAGAAATTTCAAATATAAAATCACCCTACAACTACAGACTCTATAACCCCATAAACAATGAGACAATAATCAAAAGCATTTTTCTTTAATAAAAGCATCCTTAATTCCTCTAGCTAAAAATTATAAAAGTGGCTAAAACAATCACATTTTCTACACTTCTAAAAATTGCAAAGACAAGCTAGCCTTTGAGATAACAATAACTATATTTATTGCCATAGCAGTTTCAGCTCTCACTCCCATCACTTCCATTACTTTGTAAAATTCTTATTAAGCCATTTCCCAGAAGGCATGCTATAATGTCTGGGCCTGACTTCAGGGCAATGGGTAGGTACACAATAAGGTGTCCAGAAATGGCATGGGTTTAATTGTACTCTTGTGCACAGCTAAAGGCCTACTCACCAAGCCGTTATCAATAACATTAACTCTCAAGCTCACATTGGTGGTAAAAGTCATCCCACAGGGGCAAACACTGCCTCAGTAGATTACAGAATTCTTAGTGGGGTGCTTGAGTGTCCATGCAAATGGGGGTGAGACTGTGTCAAGGTGGTCAGAGAGAAATCCACTGGGCCCTGCCAAACGGGGCTGTGAAATCCCCCTGTTTCCACACTGCTGGTCTGGGACCTGTTGCTCTGTCTCTGCTCCTGGTCAAATCAAACAGACCAGCAGGACAGGCAGTTCTTTGTCTGGGTTCACTGCCTGAGTTCCTGGTAAATGTCCCTTTCTACCTTGTTGCTGGTAGAGTTTCAGCTGCCAGTGGAGTTCAGATCGCCGTTTGCTGAATGTTGCTGGGATATGGGTCACTGCAACACCACACTGTTGTGTCTGCTGCTTTCCTGTGTCTGTCAGTCTCCAGGTACCCCTCTGTTGTTGTTCTGTCCTCTTCTATTTCCTGGAATGTGTCCTCTTTGCTTCACATTGGTGAATGTTTCTCCATCTGTTTCAACATATCCTTACCCTATTCTGCCATCTTCATCATAAATTTTTTTTCTATGAAAATAATTCTTATTTTTTAGATATACATATCTGTGAGAATCTGATTAGAGCTATGACTTCTTTTCCCAATAAAATGAACATAACATTTTCACACAAATTTGATGCAATCTCAGGTGATGCAGAGTAGCACAGGTGAGAATGCCCACTTTAGGTTGAACAGTGTGACCAGTAGGGATTGTTCTTTGGGTCTTGGGCATGTATTTGGCTGAGAGGGCAACGAAGTGGATATAGAGTGGAAGGTAATGACATTTCCAGAAAATTAGATTTTTCCTGGGTGTCCTTTAATTAAAGGGCCAGGGGTTAGAAGTCCAACAACTTGAACCTGTCAGGCCAAATGGTAGGAGCAGTGTTTGCACAATGTTCATCCAGGCACTGCTGAGTTTCCCTGGTGGGAATCTGAAGGAGGGAAGAAAGGAGCCAAATTTATTTCCTTAGGTTGGTTAGCTGAGTAAAGGTGGCATTTGATCACACATCTGCTTTTCTAGAGTGCCTAATTGATAGGTGCTTGAATACAGGAGATGGAGAGCTGTGGGATGTGGGACGGGTAGGAGGGAAACCCTTTCTGCAAGTTTTGACTGGGCAGAGAGGATCTGACCATTTTTGCATTCCTCACATCCTCAGCTGTCTTTCCTTATTAGAATGGAATCTAATACAGAACAAATGGTCAGCAGAGAAACCATCAAATTACAAACAGCTTGCCTTTGGGACATTAAACACAAGATAACTTTAGAAAGTTAACATGTTATCAAAAGACTGTGCATGAATTTCAGTTTTTACACCAAATTCAACATCTCTTAATTCAATTGTCTATGAATTTGTAAAAGTGAGCTTGTACACATTTTTCTTTGATCAAGAAAGACAGGATTGTATTGTTTTTATTTCATCAAATTCTCAAGTTGGCCCATTCATGAAAAATGGCAAAGATTCGACAACCGGTCATCTCCTTGGGACTAATTCACAGATCATATAAAAATTTCCAGTTTTCAGTTTTGAAACAATCTTGTATGTTTGAAAGCTGCTGTTTGGCTGTAGCTAGCAGAAATATTTTTGTTGTGTTACAAATAAATATAATGAAACTAATGAGACCGTTTGGGTTTCCCTGCTACCTGAATTCTTCTCACTCAAATGAAGAATAGTTTTATTTGTATTTTCTCATTACAAAAGTAATACATTGCTGATTTTAAAAAAGGAGGACAGAAAAATTTAAGAAAGTAAGACATCCCTATTACTTCATCTCTTTTTCTGAGATTTGGGCCCGTCTGCTAATTGGTGTAGGGTGCACAGGAACATGTAACTCCAGAGGTGGGGGTGAGAAGAGAGAGGCAATTGGACTGGGAAGAGAGAAGGGGAGAAATTATTCCTCCAAGAGGAAAAAAAGACCAAAGGAGGTGCAAGCGGATGCATTCTGCCCCTGTCAAGCAAAGAAAGGCAAATCGCAACTGCAAGCGGCTTCTGGCAAAGGGGATGGGAGGTGGAGGGGATATATGAGTGGCAGGACCTGATGTGGCAGGGAAGGAAGGGGGAGGGCGCGTGCCGCACTGCTGGTGGGAGTGGTAACCAGGATCCTGATCTCACGGGTGACGTGGCCCTCACGTGAGCAGGAGCAGACGTGTGCAGCATTCCTAATCTCGGGCTTAGTGTGCTCTCCCGGCCCTCTTGCCATCGCCCATCGTCAGACTGGTTTCTGGCAGGGGAAGGAGGAGCAGATAACAGCCGGAATCCCAGCAGGTCTGCAGGTGGTTGGGCGCTGCTTGCGGATCACTGCGGTGCAGGCAGCGGAGGCTGCAGACCCAAGGAGGACAGAGGCCCGCTTTTGCTTTGCTTCTTCCTCGGCCCTTTCTACAACAAAAGTAGCGAACTTTCAGGGGCTGGCTGCTGGCGGAAAGCCCATCGTACGAGGGAAAACTCTGGCATCTAGGGCCTTAAATCGGAAAAGGCAAGTATTGGGATTTGTGTCCTGCGTGCTGGTGCTTCTATTCTAATCTCGGGGCTGTGTGACTGTCATTCCTTCTTATCTTACAATAGGGAACAGTACCGGTTGGGGCAGAGGAATAATCTACTTCGAATCTGTGCGAGTCAGTGTCAAATTGCTAATTGCCCCGCGGTGTCCAGAGGGTTGGGTTGGCTGAGGGCCTCGCCTTTACATCTTTACATCGGGTTCATTACTGATTCGCTAGCAGCGTCCGTGATGCAGGAAAAAGGATGTGACCGTCCCTACAGGGAAAGACGGTTGTCAAAGGGGGTGAGGTCGCTTGGGGAGGGTGATTCTGCAGTCTTTCCCTTCTCATTCGGCCCGTCCCGGCCTCTTCCCAGTGGTTGCAAAGGGGTTTTTTTTGTTTTTGTTTTTTGGGTTTTTTTTTCCTGGGAAAATGGCCGAATTCTGAGGTTGGAGACGCGGGGCGGCGCGGACAGATACCACGCAGTAGAAAAGCTGTGTTAGCGAAGTCCAGGAAAAAAAAAAAGTGTGTGGGGGGGGGGGGGGGGGCGGGGAGGGAAGCGGGGAAGCTGCGGGTTGAGGAAAGGGTGAGAGAAAAAAAGGAAATCCGATTGACAACCAGGATTTTACAAATAGGAAACTCTGATACTGGGGTTCCTGAAGCACTGTTCTGGCAGCCGAAACACCCGTGGCTCCCTCCAGTGTCGCCTGTGTCTGCGATCTTGCACCTCAAGGACAAAGCAGCTCTTGGAGACAAAAAAAGAGAAAAATTGTCCAGAACCAAGTAAGTCAGAGACAGGGTGGTGGTAGCTTTGAGGGATCCCTGGGATGGAGGACAGTCTGTAACCTCCTGCTTCTCACCTTTCTAGCCCTCTTGAAAGATGTAACAAAAATAGTTCTGCAGGCATAAGACCAGGAAGGAAATGGTTGGCAGGGAGTTATTGTCAAGGACCCCTGGGGTTTGAGTAGGAGTACGAACTGTACGAACTTTTACTGAGTGTTGGTGATCTTGATCAATCCACCCAGCACCAAGTCCCAGAGTTTCATCAGTGTTTAGATTTGGTGGAGGTGAAAGCCAACATGGTAAAGGAAGGAAATAGCTCCCGAGCAGTGAAAGATGCTGTAAAAAGTGGTGGGGAGGAGGCTGTCTTGATAATTCTAAGATGGTGGGGGTGGTGGAGGCAGGAATTGAGTTTGAGACTTGTATGTATTTCAGTTTCTAGATATTACTCTAGCTCCACCGCCTTCCAGTTTATTTCAGGGAAACAGGCGTGGTGGCACAGACACATTTGGAGAAGTGGGGGTAGGGAGTGGAGTGGAGATTTGCAAGATAGGATCCTTAGAGAAGAAGAGACAAAATAAATTCCAAAGCTGTGCAGTTCTGTGGAGGAGAGGCAGATAATCGAAGGGTAGGGTAGGAACATTGTGCAAGGCAGGGCCAAGGGCCAGGGATTCTGAAGAAGGGTGGTGTGTCCCATCTTGAGTGAGGGCCATCTCTTCCCTGAGCTCTGCATTCACCTGTAACCCTCCTGTCTGCAGGTGTATTGGGCAACACTGCTCTTGGAGAGAAGAAAGAGAAGGAAGACACTGCCTGGGGCTTTGCCAGTGATCTTGAAAGTGTGGCTGCCTCCAGGAGCTGCCGTGGTAAGGAACTAGTCAGATCCTTGAAATTGAACATTCCAGGGTGGAGCTAGGGGATAGGAGGTTGGGAAATTTTTCCAAATTAGCTTCTCACTGAAGAAATGGAATCAGTGATCCAGAAGCCAAAGATATCCTGATTCTGTTAGTATCCCTATTTGCTTCTGGGTCATTAGTTTTTTGTTTGTAAAGGCACAAAAAGAGGAGGAGACTGAAGTTTTTCCTTTATTCCTTTATTCCTAGGTTCTGCTGTATCTGCAGCTGCCACAGAGCTTTCCAACAGTAGCTGAAGACTCTGCCCCCTTGCTCCTCTCCCTAAAGTGTGCTCAGTCTTCTAAGCCAGAGCAATACTGCTCTGTGCTGACATTAAGAGATTCCACCCAGCTGTATCATGGGCCGCACTCGGGAGGCTGGCTGTGTGGCTGCTGGTGTGGTCATCGGAGCTGGTGCTTGCTACTGTGTGTACAAACTGACCTGGGGAAAAGAAAATGAGGAAATCTGGGATGACGATGAGGAATGTAGTGATATGTCAGAGGTTGAGGTTGAGGTTGAGCATGAGCCTGAGATAGAAGCCAGCGATGAAGTTGAGGAGAATCCTGAAGCCAAACTTCAGGATGAGTCAAAGGCTGAAGCTGAGGTGAACACAGTTGTTGATAATGGTCCAGCTGTGAAGAAGGAGGCACACTTGGGACCCCAGAGTGGAGGTGGCCTAGAAGCTAAGGCCAAGGCACTTTTCAAAACCCTGAAGGAACAGGCAAGCGCAAAGATGGGCAAAGGGACCAGAGTGGGTAACATTTCTGGGAACAGGACCCTTGTCTCAGGTTTGCCCTGTCCAGGTGGCAGGGGTGGAGGTTGCCATCCCACCAGAAGTGGGAGTAAGGCAGGGAGCAAGGCAAGCAGCAAATCCAAAGGAAAGACCCGAAGTAAGAGTACTAAGGCTCCAGCTACAGCTTGGCCTGTTCGTAGGGGCAAGTTCAACTTTCCCTATAAAATCGATGATATTTTGAGTACTCCTGACCTTCAAAGGGTACTTAACATCCTGGAAAGAACAAATGATCCTTTCATTCAAGAAGTTGCTTTGGTCACTCTGGGTAATAATGCAGCATATTCATTTAACCAAAATGCAATACGTGAATTAGGTGGCGTCCCAATTATTGCAAAATTGATAAAAACAAAAGACCCCATCATTAGGGAAAAGACCTACAATGCTCTTAATAATCTCAGTGTGAATGCTGAAAATCAGGGCAGGATTAAGACATACATCAGTCAAGTGTGTGATGACACCATGGTCTGTCGCTTGGACTCAGCTGTGCAGATGGCCGGTTTAAGACTGTTAACCAATATGACTGTGACTAATCATTACCAGCATTTACTTTCCTATTCTTTTCCAGACTTTTTTGCTTTGCTATTCCTGGGGAATCACTTCACCAAGATACAGATTATGAAGCTAATTATAAACTTTACTGAAAATCCAGCGATGACAAGAGAGTTGGTCAGTTGCAAAGTACCATCAGAATTAATTTTGCTCTTTAATAAAGAATGGGATAGAGAGATTCTTCTTAATATCCTTACTCTATTTGAGAATATAAATGACAACATAAAAAGCGAAGGCCTTGCATCATCCAGGAAGGAATTCAGCAGAAATTCACTTTTTTTCTTATTCAAAGAGTCAGGAGTGTGTGTTAAGAAAATCAAAGCATTAGCAAATCACAATGATCTGGTGGTGAAAGTGAAAGTCCTGAAAGTGTTAACCAAACTGTAATTTTGGAAGCATCCCAGGCAGCACTGGGGTGATTTCCTAACTTGTACATGGGAACAATATAATTTGTACGTTTTTTGTCTTTTACTGTGCTGATATGGCAGAGATTCTTTTAGCTTCTATTTTTGAATATGAATATCACATATCATCAATAATGATTGTGATCATGGGAGCTTATGTTGGACCACTTTAAGGATGTGAAATGAATATTAGAGTTTCTAGAAATAAGTCATTTAATGCTTGTGATCTTGCTACCTAGACTGAGATATTTTTATTCTCTTCTGTACTTAAAATGGCAGTAAATCAAGTATAACTCTTGAATAAGCTACATTTTCTATTGCTTTAAATTTTAATGTAGGACTTGTGTTTCATCAATAAAGTTGTGTGTTTTAAGCAGCAGACAAACAGACATTGTCCTTGAGTTTGTGCTCTGTTTGGAAAGGCCAGTTGTATGGCAACAAGAAGATGGTAGGGGAGCTGGGATCCTCCCATCATGGCTACATGCTTCTCGTCAGGACTCGGAAGTGGCAAAAACTGTTACACACAGCAGAGCCAGGGCAAGTCGTGTGGGGGCGGGGGCACTCAGGCAAGTTGGACTTGAAGGACAAGGCACCAAAGGGTCAGGATAAGGCACAGGAGGGCATTCAAGGAGGGAGGAGTGGGAAGAAAGGTGGGAATCCTACACCAGGGCGAAGGTGGAGCTGCCTGGCCTGCAGAGGGTGGGGAGGGGAGTGGTGGGAGACAGAGTCGGCCAGCTGGGTGAATTCCATCCATGGAACACCCCTGATTGCTAAGCTGGGGTGTCTGGACAGTGTTTGTACACCTCTGGGAGACATCAAGGCCTTTTGTGACCAGGGAACTCACAGGGTGAATGGGAAATGAACAGGTTGCATTGTGTGCAGCATGGGCTAGAGTTGGGGGGCGGGCAGAGACATTCCACCCCATATGACTAAAGATCAGGAAGTCGGCTGGAAGTTACCACTGTCATCCAAACATGGTATGATAAAGGCATAAACTTCACTGGAGGATGTGGGCAAAGGAAGGAGAGGACAGCTTGTGAGACCCTTAGAACAACTGTTGCTGGAACCTCTTGTGGGGACACACAGAAAGGGCCACTTAGATTTTAGGGTCCTGGGGGCATTTGATAGGAAAACAAATTGCTTCTTGCTCAACTCTGGGGTCTTTGAGAATGAATAAACAGCTATCATTTTGTAATTATAGGCAAGTACAGCTGAAGGCAAACGACTTTTAGTGCTTGGATCAGATTCTTTTATAAGGTTGATGGGTGTGAGATCTTTATGGAACCATCTAGAGTGCTGTTGGGATCCACACAGGGGAAAATTCACATGTGTCCTACCCCTCAGTGTTGGTGAGTGTGTGGGAGAGGAGCACCTGACCTGCTGATGGAATAGACGTTGGCAGAAGGACCATTGGCATACCCGTTTCGGAAGCCTTCAAGATGTACGCATCCTTTGACCCAGGCATCCCACCTGCAGAAATTTATCCTGAGGAGATGTCCAAATCACTGTCTTGTACAAAGCTTTGCATCTTCAAATCATTTTGAAGGGTGAATGTGAGCAATAAGTGTCTCCAAATAAGCAATTTAAACAGTTAAAGATATGGCTACACAGTGAAATGTTTTTAAACATCTACAAATATATACTTGGAAAACATTCAGCATGTAATCTTAAGTGATAAATGTGGTTACAGGACTTCATGCACAGTACATACTATTTCTGGTAATTATAAAGTATTTGCATGTATTACAATTTTTTAAATACTGTACACTCAACTGGTGTGAATGTATATGTTTAAAGCACATGAGTGGAAAAATCTTTTTTTTTTTATTGTTGTTTACATTGTATTATGTGATACAGTTTTATAGGCACTGGGGATTCCCCCCACCCCTCCCATACCCCTCCCCCCATGGTGGATTCCTCCACCTTGGAAAAATCTTTAAATCAAAACTGGAAATACATTAAAATTATAGATGCATTATGAAGCTGTGGCCAACACTGTACTGTAAGTCAATGAGCAAATGTATACAAAATATTAAAATAGTGTTGGAACTTAAGTTAATTACAAAACACAAACAGCCTTAGTTCACTAAAACATAGTATTTGTATCTTTTTTAAATAGTCATTTGTCGCATATATTAATGTCATTTAATAAATCAACTTTAAAAATAATTGCTCTAAGTAGTGAAGTGTTCGGTTCTTCTAAGAATTAAACATTTCCTTAATTCTCATTACTTTTTACAACTTTCTTGTTGTCTAGGTAATGCTCCTGCGTTCTACACATGAAATCTACATCAATGCTTCTTAAAGAAATGTTGGTGGAGCTTTGAGAATACATGGGCATATTTTTGTGTCATAAATCAACTTACAAATATATTTTGAATGTTGTATTTTAATTTTGCTGGTAACAGAAATAAATTTATTGTAAATACAAGTGTTACCTTTTGAGTCCCACATTTTGAGTTTATTTTAAAAATAGGCATGATAGGAAGTGTTCTGGGCACTTTCTTCACTCACAACTTAATATCTCAACATTCGTACACCTTACACTTGAGGTCATGTTAACATTGTGTCAATTTGAAGTATTATTTTTACTTCTCTAGTTGTTGGATTGTTTATGACTGTGAAGTACACAGGTCGAAAAACTTCGGAAGGAAGGAAGCTTATTTTAGTTTACTGATTCGGGAGATTTAGACAAAAATCAGGCAATCCATTGGTTTGACATTTGATGAGGGAGGTGTGTGGTAGAACACATACAGAGGAAGACTTGTGTGTCAGCCAGGAAGTAGAGAGAGAGAAGTTAGGTCTAATTCTCAGATTTTTATAACCGACTCTCTCACATGAACTGGCTTTCAAGGACATGTTACATAACCCAAGGACTTCCCATAAGGCCAACTCCAAGGCACTGTGATTGGACAAAGTCTTCACTCTCTTAGCACAGATATCTTACGTCTTTGAGAACTTCTCATCTTCATGAATGGGGGAGTCAAATCATGTTCAAACTACTGCAGTGGTTCAAACAATAATGATGCATTTAATAATCAAAGACATCATGGTTCAACAAAATTTTGTTTTCTGTGAGTTAGAGTGTATAAAACATATCTAATGCATAATGGTTGCATTGTTTTGTATTTAGAAAGGTTTTGAGCTAGGAAATAAGAAGAGGGTTGAGTTTGCATCATTATTATCTATCTCCCTAAGAGACAAATGTTTAAGTCAAGAGATTTTGTACTATTATTAGGATATCTATGGTCCAAGTTGTGATTATGGCCACTAAAGTAGCATAGGCAATGTCATCAAAATAATGTTAAATTTTCTTGGCTTTGTAACTAGGTTTATTTTTAATTTGTGAAGTTGTTTTGCTTTACACTTTATAGCCAGCTACAAAAGAAGGCATTATACTTGCTTTTAGGTATACACACACACACACACACACACACACACATATATATATATTTAAGTAACATTGCTATAAGAATAATTTGAAAAAATGTCTGGGGTTCTTGAGAAATTTTATCCTTTTTAGAATAATGTTACAATATCCAAATTTAATTTTAAAAACCACACACTTGTGTCCATGATATGTATATTATAGACAGAAAGAGGAGGTTGGTGTCTTATACTTTTTAGACTCTGTGGGGTAATTCAGACTCTGTTGAATAATTTCCCCTCCACGAATCCCTTCAATAATTTTATAAAGTAAATATCATTGTGCTTTATTGCAAAAGAAACGAGACTTGCAGGAAGTGAGTAAAATTTCCAAACTTCTGCTACTATTGAAAAATGGCCTTCTATGGTTGGGCAGTTGGGTGCCTTAAAATTGCTTCTTATGGAGCCAAACACTTGTAAAATGCCTCTATAGGTTCTCAACACAAAGCCAGCCCTTGATGTAAACAGAGATGCAGATGGCATTCTGTAGGTTGAATCCAGTAACTTCTGTGGATACTTACACAGCAAGGTGTATAGGAAAGAGCAGTCTCTGGGATTTCTGCAAGTGAGACCCGAGCAAGTCACAGAGAAACTGCTGTTTACCTTATTGCTTCTATATGTCTGACAGGACCAGGAGTTTGGGCTTGAGTGAATAGTAATAACCTCTATATCAACACTTCAAACTTGAGTTGTCAAGTGACTTATTTCTGGCGTGAAAATGAAGATAACTTCAAATTTTTAAGATTTATTTATTTTATTTGAAAAGAAGATTTTACAGAAAGAGAAGAGAGATACAGAAATGGGTCTTCGATCCATTGGTTCACTCCCCAAATGGTTGCAATGACCAGAAATGATCCAAGTTGAAGCTGGGAGACAGAGGCTTCTTCTGAGTCTCCCACGTTGGGTGCAGGGGTCCAAGGATTTGGGCCCTCTTCTGCTGTGTTCCAAGGCCATTAGCAGGAAGCTGGATAACCTGGTACTTGAACTAGAGCTTATATGATGCTGGAGTTATAAGCAGTAGTTCAGCTTGCTACACCATGGTACCAGGCTCTTGGTTAGTTTGAGTTTAAAATCAGGTTACCTGCCTTATTGAGTCAGGCCTAGACCCCTTCCTCCACACCTTTTTCCTTCCATTGTCTTCTCCTTCCTCATGCTTGGGTATCTAGTGCAAAATATTGATTGTCCTTGAGTTGGTCAGGACATCCTGGGTGTGACAGGAAGAAAAGATGTTTTCAATCCCTTGTTGACCAGAGCAGGGACTGAGGAGCTAGTCTCAGCTTGATGCAACCAGGTGTGTCCTGGTTGTACTAGTTGTCTTGCACTGGCATTATTGACAGCATGTAAGCTTTACTTGGGGAAAGAACTTGGTGAAACACCACCAGGTCACAGAGTGGTATTGTGATCTTTTCACCCAAGAGGTTGTCACTGTCGGTTGCCTGGGGTTCGGCAGAGTTCCAGGATTGTGAGGTGACTGTGCCCATTTGTGAGGTCAGAAAAGAAACCATATCTTCTCTTTAGGGAGGACAGCAGTTCCTGGCAACCTGAGGGCATTAGAAATGCAGAGGATTCTCTGCTGTTTTGGTGTCCCAGATTGAGAAATACAAATAAGTCCATCCCGTTCCAAATGGTGATTTTACAATGACGGAGTTCAACAGTGTTGGAGATTGACATCCAAAACACCGTGTTTTAAGATGGGGGAGGGATTTCCTTTTTAAAATGTGACAGGCATTCACGGTGAGACACACACACACACACACAGAGAGAGAGAGAGAGAGAGAGAGAGAGAGAGAAATACAGAGCTAGAGAGAAAGAAAGACAGAGCTAGAGAGGGATATCCAATTGGCTGGCTCACTTCTCAAATGCCCACAAAGGCCAGGGCTGGGCAAGCCTGAAGACTGGAGCTGGGAACTCAACACAGGTAAATTTTATGCTTGTGGCTCTCTCTAAATCA